ATGCCGCTGAATTCCAGCAAATCATCTCGCATCTCGACTTTGACGAAGACACCTACATCTGGCTCTTCGAGCGCGGACTTAAAGAAGACGTCAAGGATGAACTCATGCGGGTCGACAGACCGGAGGAGCTCCACAGGATGGTCGAGCTTGCGGTCAAGTTCGACAACCGACTCTATGAACGAAAGCTCCAGCGACGAGAGCAACGGCAAGGAGGTAGCAATGGGAACGCACCTTACCGATACCGCCGCCACGAGGGCAGGCGAGGACAACAGCGACAACAGCCTAGGGAGTACAGCGACCCCTATGGACCACGACCAATGGAGCTCGACGCAGCGAGACTCCCAGCCGAAGAAGAAAAACGACGAAAGGACAACAACTTATGCTTTGAATGCGGGAAAGCAGGACATCGGGCGCGTGAGTGCAATAACAGGCGCAACAACGCAAAGCCATGGGCGCGTGAGCGTAACAACGGACGCAACAACGCAAGGCCACAACAGTTACGGGCGACCCAAAGCAACGAGGTCCGGCCCCAGCAGCTACGAGCCACTCAGGAGGAGCATGCACGAGACAGCCCTGAAGGAAGCCAGGCAGCGTGGACGGGCCTGAGCCAAGAACAGATTCAGTCAGCCTACGAAGACCGAGCGGAGGCCATACGGAAGGTCACGAAGGGTAATACCGCAGACACCTTCGCAGACGATATCGAATACCGCGGCCTGAACAGCGCAGAGCACGCGATGGAAGAATTCCCAGAGATTGATTGGGAAAACATCGAGAGTCAAGGATGGACCCAGTACGGTCCCTGGAATACCATCGACTCCCAGGAACTGTCGTGCGCACCCCAGGACGCAGATGCAACAACCCCAGAGGCCTCAACCAACGCCTCAGGAACACCGGAGACCCTAGAGACTCCACCTGCGATCCCGGAAACGACGACACCTGAACAGCCTCACCAAGACCCCAAGGAATTTGACGGACGCCACGTCAGGGAGCGACCCCAAGGAATTTTACAACTACAGCAACAACTGCTACAGCAGCAGTCAGACAACGAGCAATGCCCATGCAAAAACACACGATGCTCATGCCAAGGATATGCACGACACCCCGATCATGGCCGTAGAGCAATCATCGGATGTTACGACTACAACTGCATGATCCACTACCAAGGGAAGATCAACCAAGGCCTGGAACCAAAGCCGCTACGCTGGGAAAAGAAACCCAACTGGAAACCAGAATACGCGGGACTCTGGTACGGAAACCGGAGGATAAGCGAACAACACCTCGCAGCAACGGCGTGGGGACAACATCTGAAGATCAACGCCAACATCTCGCTCCGATCAACCTTAGTGATGATCGATTCGGGAGCGGCAGGAAACTTCATGAGTCCACGCTATCAGAATCGCCATTCAATCAAAGGCATCAAGAAGCCACGAGCAACACCAATTATAGGCCTCAACGGAGAAAGTCTTGGGCCAGGAATCACAGATGAGAGTGGACCTTTGCCAATGGTTATCGGAAACCACTTCGAGGTCATCAATTTCGACATCACGAACCTCGGAGAATACGATGTGGTATTGGGAATACCATGGCTGCGTAAGCACAATGCAAACATCAACTGGCAAACAGGAAATATAGTCTTCGACAGATGCTCGTGTCGACAGACGAGCAAGGTGTGGACCGGAAAGAACGAGCAGAACACGCTGAAGAGACCTAGCTATGGGGAAGCAGGTACTCATGGAAACCCTCACGAAGGCGAACTTAAGAGGAGTTTTCGGCCGGGAGGCAGGCCCAACAAAGCAACAACCGACATCAGAGACATCACGACAGCCGAGCAAAGACCGGATATGACCAACAAGGAACTGGAGGAATACGTCCTCGTTCACGAAGATATGACGACCATTTGCGCCACAGGAGCGCCAGACGAAGAACACAAGATCCCGCAGGAATACGCAGAATTCCAGGATGTGTTTACGCCACCACCAGACGGTGAGCTACCAGAGCATGGTCCGTTTGACCATGAAATCAAAGTCAAGGAAGGGGAAGAGCCAAAGTTTATGCCAATTTACCCGCTGTCACAGAAAGAATCAGCGACACTGCAGAAGTACCTCGAAGAAAATCTGAAGAAAGGATACATCAGAAAGTCGAAATCACCAGCAGGATACCCGATCCTGTTCGTACCCAAGAAGGGAGGAGAACTTAGGATGTGTGTGGACTACCGACAACTCAACTCTATCACCATCAAGGACCGACACCCACTACCGTTGATTAACGAGATACAAGACATCATTCAAGGAGCGAAGTTCTTCACCAAATACGACATTACCAACGCATACAACCGTCTGAGAATCAAGAAAGGAGACGAATGGAAAACGGCATTTCGGACCAAATACGGACACTTTGAATACCTGGTCATGCCGTTCGGACTCACCAATGCACCGGCATCGTTTCAACGATTTATCTTCGCCGTTCTGGAAGAATACCTCGACGTTTTTGTCATCGCGTACCTCGACGACATCCTCGTATTCTCCAAAACCGAAGCCGAGCACATCGAACACAACAGGAAAGTGTTGCAGAAGTTGAGAGAAGCCAAAGTCACTCTCAAGCTCAAGAAATGCGAGTTCCACGTCCAAGAAACCAGTTTCCTCGGATACACCATCAGCCTCGACGGACTGGGCATGGAGGACGACAAGGTCAAGGCTATTCTCGACTGGCCGACACCCACGTGTGTCAAGGACGTTCAGAGCTTCCTCGGACTAGCCAATTACTACCGAAAGCTCGTTCCTCGATACTCCAAACACGCATCAGGACTTTATCGATTCACCAAAAAGGGAGTACCGTTCGAATGGGACAACGAAGCAGAACAAACGTTTCAGGCGCTCAAAAACCTATACCGACAACAGTCAGGAAAGTCAATTTTGGCAATCTTCAACTACGACGCACCTATCATCATGGAAACCGACGCATCAGACTTCGCGCTTGGAGCACAACTCGTGCAACCGGGAGAAGACGGCAAGCTCAGACCTGTCGCCTTCTGGTCTCGAAAAATGATCCCAGCAGAGCTCAATTACGACATTCACGACAAGGAACTGCTAGCCATAGTGTCGGCATTTCAAGTCTGGCGAGCTTACCTGGAAGGAGCAAAGCACACCGTGATCGTCAGGACGGATCACCACAATCTCACCTACTTCACCACGACAAAGAAACTCACTCGACGACAAGCCAGATGGGCAGAAACATTAGCACAATACGACTTCAAGATCGTCCACTGCAAAGGGACGGAGAATGCAGTCGCGGACGCGCTTAGCAGACGACCTGATTATGAAATCGGAACCAAGGAAGCAGCACCTGCTATCCTGACGACCAACAACGACGGAGACATCGTCTACAACCACCAGATCCTGGCAGCAACCAGTGAAATCCAGGATGATGGTTGGCTAGAGCGAATCAAAGAAGCCATGACAGGGGATGAAGTGATTCAGCGGATCCTGCAAAACGGTCTTCAGGAAGGACACATGACCCAAAACGACACCGGCTTAGTCCTGGTCCACGGGTTAGTATACGTCCCAAAGAACCTTCAGGACGAAATCATCAAAGCACACCACGATGAACCAACGCAAGGACACTTTGGAATTGAGAAGACAATGGAAAAAATATCACGCAACTACTACATCCCGAGCATGCACAGAAGAGTCAGAAACTATATTCGACAATGTGACTCTTGTCAACGGAACAAACCAGCACGACATGCACCATATGGGGAGATGAGGTCGCCAGAGACACCGACACGCCCATGGGAATGGATTACAATAGATTTCATCACCAAATTGCCAATTTCGGACAACAACGACATGATCATGGTAGTCGTGGACCGACTCACCAAGTACGCATACATGATCCCAACAACAGAAAAGATTGACGCCAAAACCATGGCAAACCTTTTACTCAGATATGTATTTGCAAATCACGGAACACCGAGCAAGATTACCTCGGACAGAGATAAGTTGTTCACATCCAATATGTGGCAATCATTCGCGGATTTGATAGGCATTGAGCATAGACTCTCCACAGCCTACCACCCGCAGACCAACGGACAGACAGAACGAGTCAACCAGACTCTGGAGCAGTACCTACGACACTACGTGAATTTCCAGCAGAATGACTGGGCGGGACTGCTACCCATCGCACAGTTTGCGTACAACAACGCCATGCACGCGACAACCAAGGAGACGCCATTCTTCGCCAATTATGGGTATAATCCCACAATCATCGGAGAACCAATCGGCAAACACTCGGTAGCAGATTCATCCAGACTACTAGTCGACGGATTAAAACAGTTGCACCTTCAACTGTCAAGGGACATCGAGTTTCTCAACATGCGCATGAAACACTACTACGATCAGTCGCGCCAGGAGGCGCCGAACTTCAAAAAGGGGGAGAAAGTTTACCTCCTACGACGAAATATTCGCACCAAACGACCCAGCGCGAAACTCGATCATCTCAAACTTGGGCCATTCGAAATCGATGAAAAGTTGGGACCAGTCAACTATCGCTTGAAACTACCGGACAGTATGCGACGCATCTATGCAACATTTCATGTCTCGTTACTCGAAAAAGCCCCCGAAAACGCCAAAATCGCTACCAATGTGGAAATCGAAGAAGAGACGAAAGATGAATACGAAGTCGAGGAAATCCTAGCAACAAACAAAATCAGTGGAAAACCTCACTACCTCGTGAAATGGAAAGGATACGATACCTCAGAAAATACATGGGAACCTATCGAGCACCTGATGGGCTGCCACCAGCTGGTTCAACAGTTCCATCAACAGGAGGAGGGGACTTCTCAGCGGCATTCCCAAACAAGGAGCTCTCGAGACCGGCCCAGTCGAGAGAAGGATCATTCAGCAACTGAGTCAGAGTAGGATCCTCTGACGTCGCCGCAAGGAAACGACCATCGGTCGCAACAGCAGATTGAGGAACCTCGGCAGCGGCCCGAGCACTCTCTGCTACACACTCTTTCTGCTCAGACACAGCACGCTCTTTTTCAAGACGCTCGCGCTCTTCAGCTTCGCGACGCTCCAACTCCTCGAGCTCGCTAATCTCTTCATACTTACGGGCAATGAAGTCACCCGCACGCTTTTGAAGCAGACGCCTCTGCTTACGCAATCGAAGAACCTTAGCCAACAACTCCTCTTCCTCAGACTCTAGGGAGTTTTGGAACTTGATCAACCGACGCCATTCAGCATCCGAGAATGTTGACTCTGGCATCTCACACTTAATTTTCCCACCACCACGCACGCAGTTATTGCACCTCAAAGACCGGTCGGAACGGATGCAGGTCTTGTTGAGGGAAACGCAACGACGACACGGAGTCACGGATTCGAAACCTTCGTCTTCGATTAGCTGATGAAGCTTGCGATGACCCACGGAAAGGGAAGAAGACATGGCGACGCCGCAGAAAACAACAAAAAGAAATAAGGACTTACCAAGGAAGGCGCTCGGCACTACTTAAACGGTCTTCGAGGACGAAGACTTGAGAAGAGGGGGGATGATGTTACGGGACACTTAGACACACCACGCTAATGCGGGGGAAGACGCACTAATAACCAATCAACTTGGTGTCAACTGGCGAGGCATCCACGAATGACTGAACCACAGAATTACGAAAACAGCAAGATCACGTGATGTCCCATCCCATCGTGGGATGAGAACTCATCCCACCAGGGGATAGGAAGGACTGGATATATAAGGACACTCATTCACCGTCATGTATTTAGTTCTTCGCGATCAATCATACATTGTTACTTGGTTACTACCTATTGGACTTTGCACTCTACGGTTCACCCTTAAGACAACCCAACCTACAAGTAGGGGAGCTCATCTTGTGGTAACACTTGGTGACTGACTTACTTGGCGCGCACTACTGGCACATCCTGCAAGATACTCAACAGGACCCGAGTCCGTGTAAGGCTTAGCACAGCGACGGTACGGTTGCGAGATACTCTTGGGATTCGAAGTGGAACTAGGCGAGTACAACCCGGAAGCAGCTCTACTTACAGTGACCAGCAGGCACCGCGTAACAGCGCTAAGGTAAAGATGGCAAGCACTTCCGACACGATTATTATAACCGATGACGAGGAATTTCCGGGTCTCGAAACAGGCAGCGTATACTCCGAGATGAACTTCGCCAGGAGAGGGAGAGGTATCAAAAGACGCAAGAGGAACTTTCCCAGCAAAAGGAAAGCCATGTTTTAGAGTGTAAGATCTGCTACGAGCAAAAAGATCGCTGGATGACGATCCTATGTGGGCATATGTTCTGCGAGTCGTGCACAGGAGAGCTTGGAACACTTCGAAGAAGTGCCCTATCTGTCGAGCACCATTCACGGGATATGTAGCATGCTACCCCTTCTCATAAAGCATATACATAACATGTTCATTCTAACTCAGACACAATGGTCTGTGACTGATCTTCCTGTCGGCTGTTCGTTGGATCATTAGCGACCCGGGAGTCTTGTGCTAACTGATTCCGCGGTTCTTTCTGTTTTAAACGGGCGGGCTGTGAGGACCGTCAAAAAATGACCAACTCTCACCATATGAGACCTGTGGACGGGCGCTAAGCACGCCATGGTCAGTTGGCCCCAAATGCTGTTGTTGCTGCCGGCGTTGTTGTTTGGCACAGCTTCTGTGAACAGCCACTGGCGGCTCAGTCAAGGCCCTATGGCACGACTTCCCAACGGTCGTCGCGTCTAGATCAAAATCGACCGTCCCGCCCCCGCTCATCGTCGATTCATGGTTGGGTGGACAGCCAGATCCTGTCTTTCGTGGCACTTATCGGGCCCAAAGAAAGTTCCTCTACCTAACTGAGCACCCGACTCTGAGCCCTGTCTCCTGCTCGAGTCATCAAGGATCGAACGTATTGAACCGTTCGGATCAAACGAGTTGCTTTGCCCTTCAACGACGCCCCGTCCTATTATTTGAGGAATTGGCAATGGGAGCAACCTCAACGGTCCGATAGAACCAACCCGAGGCGATGATCTGCCCTGAGCCACTCAACTTCCGGCTATCAGAGTGCCTCGACTTCCAGAACCTGCACATTTTGTTCATCGCGCTCTCTTCACCCAGCTGGGTGATCATTCCCAGAAAAGCCACTCTTGCCTCTCGGTCAGGTCGACGACCAGTGCCGCTTAGCCCGACGCAATGTCAACCTCGCATGGGTCGAGACCTTCCCCCGGGCTTTTCCAGGGGCTTAGAAGCTTTTGGTCGAGCTTGTTCGTTCCCAGAATCCTGTCTCCCTTCCTTATCTGTAACAGATGACATCCCTTGTGAAGCCGGCATGACATGCAAAGGCGGTAGTCACCCTTATTGCGCCCCACAGCGCACGTTCATAAGTGATATCTATAATCATTCATAAAATATTCTGCAGAGGGCGCGCTGGCAGGGTCTCTGTTTATAGGCATTTTTTTTTTGCCGGACGATAGGTCCTTGGAAAGACTTTTGCACATGTAAGAGAGCTTTCACACAGCTAATTCGCACACAAGCACAAGAGGGCTACATGCGCCACCCGCGCGATAAAGCCATGTACCTGTACTTATTACAGTGACAATCTAGGTTCCCTGATTCTAGCGAAATCCCTTTCTATGATACCTATGGGCTTGAGAATGGGGCTACTACCCACAATATCGCGTTGATAAAAGATTTCATCGAATGGTACATCGTCTCTACGAGAGGACGTATACAGGCAGATGGAAAGCCCACAAAAGCATCAATTTTGAGGTGCACAGAGAGGCTTCTTATGGCGTTGGAGGCAGTCTTACACAACAAGGAAGCATTCGACTCTCGATCTCGTCAAGAGGTTTACAAGGTTAGTATGTATAGGCAATTTCATAGCTGATGGTGTCGAATCAACTTTATCACAGTGGATTAAGAAAACCTTGTACTACAGTGATATTCGAAATCAGTTAACTCCACACACTTGCGATTTGATCCACGAACCCTAATTTGAAACACGCTAGTTCACATTTGGAATAGTTGGTCGATTCATGATTTCCAAGAATAGACATTGTCTTTTACATGACGCAGGTGGAGCTCTTGCCTTATGTATCTTACTCGAAAACGCCATACAATGGTAGTTCTCTGCCATACCGTCCACCCACGCAGGAGACATCGTCACCCGTTCATCTTTCTTGAATAGCACAATTGACCTCACCAAAATGGCTCCGCAACTTGCACCACCTAAGCTGCATCTCATCCGCGACATGATAGAGAGCCAGTCATCTAGTAAATCTAAAATGGCCGAAGAGGCAGAATGCAGCGAGGCTACGATTATAAATATTCGCGCAAACTTGCGGCAATTTGGGAGTGTGCACGCACCACCGACTCGAATAGGACGGAAACGGACTGTAACACCGCTGATGATCGAAGCCCTCTGCGAACACCTGTCTGAAAAGCCCGGTTTATACCAGAATATACTGTGTAGAACATCGTGGAACTTGATGGCACATTCTATTAGCACGAAAGACCATATAGATGTCGTTTCTCTCCCAGGGCCTTCTTTTACAAAGACATTAGAAAATAGAGAGGGAATGACCATGCGAATGATTGACGCCTACTGTAGGCAAAATCGTAGGAAAGAAACCTGCCCTGATGCGTGTCCCAAGACAAGGAGGTCCCCATTAACCGCAAAACAGGTGGGCCGAAAGTCAGGAGGAAGCCATAATGCAGTTTTGCCGTTCAGGTTTATCCACAGTCCTTGCTCGATAAAAACCACCAGACACTCATGGGTTGAACTAGAAGCATGCTGTTGGAGCCCGAACTGAAGATCGAAGGTGCCTAAGTTGGTGATTAGATATGAACCATCTTGAGAAAATTCGAGTTTGGTGACCATTCCCGTGGCGTTCAAGGTCTGCCGTAGACCGCCCATCGCCGTGTCCCAGAGCCGCACAGTCTCATCAGAAGAGCCGGACGCCAGCAGCCGGCCATCGGGCGAGAAGGCTACCGAAACAACTGCGTTCGAATGGCCCTCGAGCGTCTGCTGTAGACCGCCTGTCGCCGTGTCCCAGAGCCGCACGGTCTTATCATAAGAGCCGGACGCTTAGGGCTTAGGGCTTTAGGGCTTAGGGCTTAGGGCTTAGGGCCTTAGGG